TATGCTAATTCTATTGTTTTCTATTGTTTAATTAACACAATTTTGTAGTAAATAGTSGAAAGTGTTGCACACATTTAATGTTTGTACTCTAGAGGATATTTTCACTAGTGAAAATATCAACTTTACGAAAATGAAATAGGTAGTTCATAGATAATTATATGATAAACCTATTTACCATATAATTAGTCAGGCTAGAGCGGTATGTGTTCAATACATGTACACAAAAGCTTGACGAGAGATTTGACCGCTACCTGAGTCGACTGAGAGAAAAGATATCGACCTGCAAATATGCCACTCTAGAAAACGAGATGTAGAGAGATAGAATAGTGATTGGAATTCACAACAGCGAAACACAACAGAGACTGCTAAGAGAAAAGGATCTCAGATAGAGCAATCAGCATTTGTCGACTCAGCGAAACAGCAACTCAACATTCACAGAGAATGGAGCTGACGCAACTTGTCAACTTTATAAAAAAGCAGAAAAGCGACACAAAGTATTTCAAGAATTGCAAGTAGTGCATTACGAGCCGGAGATGGCTTTTTTTTTAGCCGGTTGATTCCAGCTGTGCTTACTATAAACGTCAGTTCATATGGACGGGGATCGCGATTCCTGTGTAACCAACCTGTACAAGCCAGAGGTATAAACCAATGTTGTCCCTCAAATAATAACAAAGCGACGTAAGGCAAAGTTACATCATGATAAAGGAGCAAAAGATCTACCAAAGCTGATAGCAGGACAACCTGTCATGGTGAAAGTTACACCTCAGCAACCTCGAAGTGAGTGGAAAGTGGGAACAGTGAAACATGAAGCAGCAACTCCCAGCAGTTTCATTGTTGAAGTAGAAGGCAGAAAGTACAAGAGGAACAGAATTCACTTGAAGGACACTATGATCAGTTCACAACACACAGATCAGCCACCTGTCCCTCCTCAAGAAAGCTACAGGATCTACTACAGACAGCGCAGATTCATCCACAATTTGCACAAAAGCCAGACGATTGGTGAAAGCACCAAATTCAATTTGTGACTGTTATTATATCAGAGATGCTCTTTAATAAGTAAAGATTAATCTGACTTTATTTACAATTGCTACAAACACTGTTCATAATGTTACTTAATGTATACAACATTTAGTTTTTATTTTCTTTGGAAAAAAG